GGTTGTTTACCGGTCAATTCTTGTCAGCAGGGACTACTTTACAAGTCGAATTAATAGCTCAGTCTATTCTTGTGATCGTAACTTTTGAATACGGGAGCGCGAAAGAGTATCGAAGCATCTCCCAAAACAGCGGTCGGTAAGGAAGACGGAAAAACAGGAACAGAAGCGAAGCTCAAAGCGACTACATGTTGCACCTGCCAGCCATTTCAGACGGATATGAATACTGAAGACCAGTCGTGACTACCACTTATTAACAATTTCCATTATTTTATATTCAACTTCGGTTGAAAAACTTATCAATTACTACATTAGTTGGTACACCCTTGATTATCGACGATGGCCGTTTTCAACGCTACCCTAAATTCTACAAAAGAAGCATCAGCAGATCAAGCACAGGAAGATAAAGTGGGTATCTTAATAGGAATCGTAGTGCTAGCAAGCGCGCTTATTGGTTGCAGTCTAGCATTGGTGGCTCTCGGAAAAGACCTCTTTATCGGAAGGAATACACCAATGGTCCTTGTAGGTGCCTTGGTGTGGGTAGATTTCATTGGTGTTTTCTCCACTTCAGTGATCGTTTTCCATGGTTTTGTTAAAGGCGCAGAATGGATGGCAGATTCACCACAATGTGGTTTACAGGTGTGACTTATAACCTCTGTTCTCAGGTTTTTCTTTTCCTGGGTTTCACTTTCCCTTCATCCTTAAAAGTGCTTAAGAATTGATAAGAGACCTAAATTTCAGTTTCTTTTTTTACCTCAAGGCTTCTCCAAATAATAAAGGCGCAATTGTCTTTGAAATTTATTTCTCAAAGGAGTCCCTTTAAAAATTTAATATATTTTCTCCCGGATAATTACAATACGTGATGAAGAGAATAGGCTGTGAAGACATCGACTGTGAGTTTCGTTTAGGTATCTGTTTTATTTTTAACAACTCAGGTTATCTTCTTCCGCGGTCCCCAATTCCAGTCGTGCAGTTGTCATAGGTGATGTCTTCGTAAAATCTATGTACAATATAATCTTTCATCAAATAACACGAGTGACAAGACTTTTCGGATGTTCTATTTCATGCTGTTTCCTGTTTCGCATTTGCATCATTTTTTACTTACAGATTTTTCTGTGAGTTCTCCTTACAAATCCTTCTTTCCCTGAATGTATTGCATATTGGGCCAGTTTTGTGGGAACAAATTTAGATGTATAGCTAACCGCTTAAAGCTTGAGAATGATTTTTAAAAACACTTAAAACACTACGAAAAATTGAAGAAACAAAGTTGAATACTGATTCTCAGTCAGTCAGTGAAGACAACTGTAAATTAAATGGTAAAAAATACTGAACACTGTTTATAGATCTTATACAGCTACGCCATGTAGCGGGGAACTTGCCATACTTAAAACTTGTAACGCTTAAATTTCGCTTTATAGCTTCTCACGCTAGTTACAGTTGTCACAACGAGCTATAGCTTGCCACCTTTAACCTGTCAAGTTTAATTGGTTGCGTTAAACCCTTTAAGCCTTACTTGTCACGTTAAAGCGTTTATCGTGCTTAACGTGATTTTTCAGGATTTCTTTGCAGGCTGGTGCAGTCTTAACGACATCACAAAAGACTGAGCTTTCGTCATTCAACAACCGTGATATATCAGGACCGACTGAGTGACGATTATTTTTTTCCTCACCAGGCGTTCTTCACAACAGCATTCGGATTATCTTCAGGTGCTGTGGTCACTTCCATGTCTTTGGATAGAGTGGCTGCGCTGTACAAACCATTCTTTTACAAGCAACATGCCACCCCTTTGCTTACGCGGACAATCTGTGCATTTCTCACGATTCTTTGTCTAGCTTTGGCGGCTCTTCCATTCTTTGGCATTGGAAAGTACAAATTCAATCAAAGTTCCAGATCGTTTTGTCAATTTGATTGGTTCCCGGTGACACTTACTGAAACAGTTTATACCTTTGCCATAGCAGTTTGTGGCGTAACTTTGATCACCGAGATGACTGCATCAAATATCATCGTTTTGGTCATCGTGGTGCGTATCAGACAACGAATGTCAGCGGTCTTGCCCTCAAAGGATATGAAATCTAAGCGCCGTGCACGGAGAGTCGCTTTCCGACAGGAGGAGCAGATGGCAAAGTTTGTGGCTTTGGCCTCATTTGTGTTCCTTTTTACTTGGCTACCAGTAACGGTAAGCTCATGCCCCAGTCCTTTTCAGCTCAACTCATGAGCTTACAATACACGTGGACTTTCAGTAACGATCAAATTGCCCCACGGACACTATCCATCCTATTTTTGAGTTATTTTTTTAAAAAAAATAACTATATGTTAGCGAATAGATTGGTGTATTGTGGTGTAGTGTAATCTGATCAGCGCAATTTGGTGTATCTCTAAGCAATCTGATTGGCGCATCTTTTTTTCGGTGTATCTCAACGCAATGTGATGGCCCAATTTTTTGGTGTATCACAAACCAATCAGATTGTAGTATTTTTCGATGTTGCACCAATCAGAGCGTTCT